TACCAAAAGTGTGTTCGAGAGCCTTGAGGGGGGTGGGGGGGGAAAAACAGTACGATTCTGAACGCTTGAATCCTTGTGGACATGTGACTGACGATTTCACTTGAGCTTGATTTTACCTCGGCTTGATTTTAGATTGAGTGCTTGATCACTGTACAGTGTGAATGAGATCCTTGCACGGCAAAGTTACGACTCAAGTTCTTTTGTGAGTGGGTGGGCGTAGGGGACCTCCGGCGCTATGGCTCACCATGAGTGAATTCCGGCAATGGGCTCGGAGTGGCAGCAGCTTCGAGAAATCAACCCTGTATTCTGCGAGCGTGTTTCGAAGGTCTTCTTTCATATTGGAAACTTTTGCTTGGCTGCAGCTACGCTTGAGGATGTACAGGCAATCGTGGATGATTCGATGAGTGATGTTCTTAAGATTGAGGATCGTGTGGCACTTACAGAGTCAGTGCATAAGTGGTGCGCGCTTCATCAAGGGACAGTGGAAAGGACTGTTCGCGAGATCGGGCAGAATGTCCGACGTGGGCCTTATATCCGTCGTGGGCCCAGTGTGACGGCTGCCGATTTGTATGAGGGGCTTTTGGCTTCTGACCCTGTGCTGGGTTTGGCTGCTCTTGAGAAGAAGTTAAAGCTTCGCAAAGCTGGAACAGGGGCGCGTGTGGAAGCAGAGGACTTGTGCAGGCGCCGCTGGGGTCTCAAGCTCGCGGGCTACATCCAGGAGGCGGCTCTGCCAGCATCTGAGAGAATTGGGTCGCTGGCTGACGCGGAATCGGCATGGCTACGGGCTTTCGGTAGCAGGCGCGGCAAGACCTTGAAGAATCGGGCTCGCACGTGGGAGCCGGTGCGCGAGTGGATGATTCAGGCGACCGGGAAACCTTGGCCAGGAGACGCATCGCTGTTGCTGCAGTACTTCGATGAGAGGCATCAGATCAGGCCGATGGGGAAGACTGTTCCGCAGAGTATCTTGTCAAGCCTTTGTTTGCTGGAGCTGGTTGGGCAGAGGCCTTCAGCAGATAGGCTGTCGGAGGATCCTTTACTTGTGGAGTCTGTGAAGGCATGGACGATGCAATTGGAGACAGGTGCCGAGCCGGTCAAGCAGGCGGAGCTCGTTACGGTGGCAATGGTGCTCTCGGCTGAGATTCTGCTGGTGAAGGTCGGGACACCCCCTGGGCTGCGGTTCGGATGCTTCATTTTCTTGCTTATGTGTTGGGGAACGCTGCGATGTGACGATATACAGGGGATCGATCCTTCGAGTGTTACGCTGTCACAGCTTGGAATGAAATTTGTTCTCTCCCGGACCAAGACCTCTGGACCTGGAAAACGGATCGGGCAACTGCACGGATACCTTGTGAGGAGCATAAGCCTTTCTGGCTATGACTGGATTGCGCATTCATGCAAACTCTTGATGAGCGAGGATTTCAAGTTTGCTCGGGATTTCTTGTGTCCAGACATTGGTGAGTCGTGGGAAGTCAAATCGAGGGAGTACGTTGGAGCAGAGGGCGTCGCCAACCTTGTGCGACGTGTGATCCTGGAGCTGCCGGTCCCGGGGAAGAAAGATGGAGTCTGGGGTCTGAGCAAGACAACGAAGCTGGTTCCGAAGGAGCTGGCGCTCTTCTGGTCCGGGCACTCGCCGAGGCATTTCCTTCCATCCTTGGCGGCAGCAATTGGGATCGACGAAAAGAAGCGCGACTTTCTCGGACGGTGGGCGGCTGCCCGGCAGGGGTCAACCGCTTATGTGCTGACGGCCAGACAAATTATACAGCAAGTTCAGGCTGAGGTGTGCGAAACACTCTTGACTGGGAAGAACCAGCCCGGCTACATCGAGGAGGAGCTGCTTCTTCGCTTAAAGGCGTTTGCGGAGCAACATGGAGTTTCTAACGGGGCTGTTGCACGCCACAATGTCATGGTGTGGTGTGCACTCAACTTGTGCTGGAGTCTTCAAGGAAAGTTTCCGGCAATTGCAGTTGACCCTGGAAGCCATCAGCAAGCGGTGGCCGAGCCACCGAAGGACCAGCCGGCGCCTTCTCCGGAAGATGCAGATGCGCCATACTTTGTTGTTGTGAGTCGTAGTGGGCACAGACGTCTTCACATGTCACGCACTTGTGCTGTAAGGCAGGAGCGTTGCTTGGAGACCATTCCTTTGTACAGCATCACTCAGGATTCTGCAGATGCAATCTGTAAGTTATGCAGGCCCCGGCTACAGGAGCAAGGGGCGGTCAGCAGTGAGTCCGCATCCTCAGATGCAGTGGAGCCGTGACACATGAGGGGTGTGAAAATTTCGTCGCATCAGTGGCTTGTCCCGTGAGTCAAAGCAGGAAGTACTTCGGATGTGCCACGTCCCGTGAGTGTCAGATTGGGACATTGCATCAGATTGAGAAGAGCCGCAGTCACGTCAGTATCAGGTGCAGTGCTTTGACATGTCTTTCTTGTCTTAACGTTGTGCAAATTGAGGTGAGCCGATCAGACTCTTCAGACACAGTGGCATTTCTTCACACAGTGTGTTCGGAGGTAGCTTACAGTGAGTTCCAGACATGGATTTGCCAGCTGGAGTGAGTGAGGAAGCGGCTTCGAAGTTCTTGTCCACTGAAGTCGATGCTGAACTTGCACACATCCTTCAGGAAGCTGGAGTCCCGCTTGGATTGCAGTACAAACTCACACAGTCTTTCAAGACTGTGAGGCGGTTTCAGTCTTATGAGGACACCCGTGCAGGGATACGAGATGCATTGAAGAACGATTTCGCTCTGGAGCCTACCACTCTTGATAAGCGCGCTGGGATCTCAGCTGTGATTAGTGCTTGGGAGGCATGTCAACAATTTGCCGCGAAAGAGCAGGAGCTTCGCGCGGAAGCGCGCGTGTTGGGGGTTTCAAGGCCCGTCACACAGACAGATCGGAGTGCGATGAGAGCCGCCTTCGAGGCGACCCACGGCAGGCTTGAAGATGCACATGAGCCTTCCGAGGATTACATCTCATGCAAGATGGAGGAGCTTGAGGCTCATGAGCCGACGGCTTCGCCGCTGTCCGAGGTTACATCACGCAAGACTGTGAAGACTCAGGGGATCCAGACCGCAGTCGATTCTTCAGGCCATGTTCGCATCGTGCGGACGAAGGTCAAGGGATCATTGCCTCAGGGCACTGAGGAATTGCGCACGGTGATGCGTGTTGAGTGCAACCTGTGGTGCTTCTTAGCGACCAAGTATCGCAACCGCGAGCTCTTGCGAGGCATGGACCCTGAGTGCTGGAATCAGTATGTTGCATTTCTGCTGTCTGACAAGGTTTATCTTATGAAGGTGCCGATGGCAGGTGGCAAGGGCAATCAGACCGAACATGTACCATTGCGGCCCCCTTGGTCAGTGTTGCTGAATTTCGAGTTTGAGTTGCGAAAGGAGGCAATCAAACGGGCTGTACAGGGCAATCGGCCTTTGAAGGATACACTCGCGGAGGTGACGTCCGATGCTCAGCTCAAGGAGCAGTATTTTACATCGCCCATTGCCCTTCAGCAGGTTGCACCTCCACCGCGGCCAGATCCTTTCTGGCCACAGCGACGGTTCCGACAGTGGGACAATGATTGGTCCGAGAGCCCGGCCAAGTGGCAGCGAACAGGCAAAGGACGTGGCCATGGAAAGGGCAAGAACGGCAAGGGGGGCAAGGCCAACCGCGATGAATCCAAGGGCGATGGCAAGGGCCTCGGCGGTGGCAAGGGCAAGAGTGATCATGCGCTCTGGACACACACGCCGGATGGACGTCAGATTTGTTTTCCATATAACGCTCAGGGTTGTGATGGCAGCTGCGGTCGAGTTCATGTATGTCGCGTCCGAGGGTGCATGCAGTCCCATCCGATGTGGCAGCATTTCCAGAGCTTAGCAGCAAAGGCGGCAGCACCGACCGGGGCGCAAGTCACCAACTGACGTTCCAAACTCACCGTGCTGTATCTTTTCGCTGGGCAGGCACGGGAAGGAGATATCAGATCACACTTACAGCAGCTCTGCACGTCGCGGGGACTGGATTTAATTTTGCATGAGTTTGATTTGCTGCGAGGTCCTGAACAGGATCTATCGTCGCACAGGCTTTGGGAGCGTCTCTTCAAGGACATTTCGTCTGGAGCCTATGATATCCTTATTTTGAGCCCGCCTTGTTCCACTTTTTCGCGGGCTAGACATCGTTTTGCGGGGGCATTTGGCCCACGCCCACTTCGTTCACATGGCCATCTGCTGGGTTTTCCTTGGTTGCGTGATTCAGATCGCACAAAAGTTGAGCTGGCAAATTTCTTCGTGCAACAATCTTTTGAGGCCATCCGTTTACAGAGGCAGCAGGGCTTGTACTTCATTCTTGAGCACCCTGAAGATCTCGGCCGTGTGCCGTCTGGTGAGAGGCCTGCTTCTATTTGGTCTTTTGATGAGGTTCGTCAGATTTGCGCTGGAGGCGATGTCAGTTGCTGGGCATTGCATCAATGCCTTTTCGGGGCTACGTCATGCAAACCCACCCGCTTGTTATCCAATTTGCCCGGGGCGTTGAACTTTGGGATACAGATGCCATATTTCAATGATGACGGGGACTACGTGGGCCGCTCTTGCGCTGCCCGCATACACATGCAGATCGAGCCTGCGGCTTTCAGGATGGCACTTGGAAATCGGCCGCCACGGCGGCTTACCCTTCGGATTTTGCTGCTTTCTTCGCCCGTCTCTCTTTGAGTGTGGTGCCTGAGCTGAGGGCCGTGGCTGACTCCGACCTGATCCCAGCCAACATCCCTTCATCAGCCGAAGCCTTTGCCACGGAGTGCATCGCACGCGGTTCTTTCGATCGCGCTTCAGTTCAGATTCTTTTCGACTTGCTTCCTAAGACTCGGCCTCATAAGATCACAGGCAGTGCAGAACCTGGCACCGCTTTCTTTGGAGGCACTGTGCACCAGGAGGGTCTCACCGCACCGCGGTCCACTTGTTTTACATTCCCCGAGTCCATGCGTGTGATCAATGCTTTTCTTCACTCCGTGGACCCGCACCACCGTTACGCTGCTTTTGTTCTCACAAAGAACGTTACTAGTGAGGTTCATCGTGATCCGCGGAATGCAGCTGTGCCCAACTTGATTGTGGCAATTTCCTCCTTTTCTGATGGTGGCATTTGGATACAGGATGACTCAGGTACCCAGGTGCGATCCTTTCACGGCTCGCCCGTCACAGGCACTGTACACTCCTTGCAAGACGGACCCGTCTACCTGGATGCCCGTGGATGTTTGCACGCTACCCAACCTTGGGTTGGGGATCGTCTCATCGCCATTGCATACACCCCTCAGAACGTGCACCTGCTCTCTGTTGATGATTCGGCTTTTCTGGCTTCATTGGGCTTTCCTGTCTTGGATTCCTCTCCTGCGGGGGGGGAGGCACCAGCGGAATCCTTCGTTTCCTCAGACAACTTCACCTTGGCTGCAGCAGTGCCGGCGATAGACAACTCAGGCACTGGAGACGCTCAGGAGGTCGTGGTGGTCGATCATGAGGAGTCGGCCAGGGAAGCTTTTGACCCCAAGACTAGTCGCGCTTTCGGGCAGCCCATGATCTGCAAGTTTGAAATGGGCAAGCAAGAGTTTGTGGACAGCTTCGGGTTGTGTTCGCCTGGCCGTTGGGCTCCCGAGGCGAGAGAGAAGTTGGCGTCGAGTGATGAGGTGGCACATGCAGAGGGAATTCGCGGATTGCTACGAGACTTTGTGATTGATCAGCTGAAAGACCCCAAGGACATGGCGTTCCGTCTCGCGACGGGCCATGTGAAGAATTCTCCTTTCGCGGAGTCTGCCTTGCAGAAGTTGAGGCAGAGGATCGTCGGGTTGATCCCAGGGGCGTCTTCAGACCTGCTGCGTGTACCCGAGCGGCAGCCGTTCCACTTGTACTTGCTGGCCGAGTCGCTGAGGCTACTTGGTGACCCCGACTGGGAGATTCTTGTGCAGGGGGAAGAGTGTTATGCCGAGGGGATGCCGGTGGGCTTCGACTCGCCACTGCCAACGGCGCCACAGGTGTTCCGGCCGAGGGACCGCTTCCGCAAGCTGGATGAGAGTGAGTTTGAACCGCAGATGCAGAACTACTCTTCTGCCGAGCTGTCTTCAGGTAAGATCGAAGAGCACTTCAGGGCTGAGGAGCGGGAAGGCTTGATGGTGGCGACGACTGAAGGGGCCGTGAAGGCGGAGTACGGCGAGGGGCGACTTCTGGTGGCCGCCATGGGGGCCATTCTTAACCCAAGTGGTGATGTCCGCCCTCTTCACGACGCCACCCACGGCGTCCGCTTGAACAATGGTATAAGGATTGCAGACAAACTCGAAGTGCCTGGACCTGCGGAAATCATCGAGACCGTGTCCAGGGCGCGGCAGGATTTCGGCGTCCCCTTCTCCATTGCGGCGGACATTGCCAAGGCACACAGGAGGTCCAAAATACGACGACGCGACTGGCCCTTGTTGGGCTGCCGGACTTCGTCTGCATCTAAAGTGATTTGGCTTAATTGCGTAGGAACTTTCGGGGTAAGTTCAGCTGCGATCCTTTGGGCCAGATTGTTCGGATGCATCGGACGCTGGGTCTTGAGAGTGATGGGACGGCTCTGGAATGTGCAGATTGTGTACGTTGATGACCTTCATATCGTGGTGACTGGTCCCGACAAATACGTGGTGCTCTGGATGATCTTGGCTGCTTACGAGGTGCTGGGCACGCCGTTTTCTTACCGGAAGTTTCACGGTGGTGTTGAATGCGAGTTCGTGGGCTACTGGCTTTCTTACCGAGAGAGTGCCGCCGGGATTTCGCTCAAGAGGACGCGCTGGGTTCTTGATTGGATCGACAATGCCGAGGCGAACAACTGGTTCATCACGGGTCGGCGCTTTGCCGAATTCCTTGGACGGCTCAACTTTGTTTCCAGAGTGTTGACTTGGATCAAGCCTTTTCTTGCACCGCTGTATGCTTTTGATGCCGTCTTGCAGAAGGGGACTGTGGCGAGGATTCCGGAGATGGTCTTCGTGTCGCTGGTGTACATCAGGGAGCAGTTAGCGGACTCCAGAGGACTCCACAGTGTGCTACAGGATTGGCGGGCACCTCGGGAGAGTTTCAGAACAGATGCAAAATGTGCCAACGGCTTGGTGGTGCTCGGGGGCTACTCACTTGAGAAGGGGACGGACCCGTCGGGGGCCAGATGGTTTTGCCTCGATGTGGTGCCGCAGGACTTGCCTTGCCTTTTCAAGGAAGATGGCGAGAGGCAATGGGCATCGACGAGTGCGGAGTTGCTGGCCTCACTCGCGGCGATGAAAGTCTTTGATCATCTGGAAAAGGAAACGGCGGGAGTGCGTGACAACATCAGGACTGTGGTTTGCGGCGGAACTGACAATTCTTCGACTGGCAAGCTGCAGAAGAAGGGCTCGAGCACTAAGTGGCCGTTGATGGGCATTCAGATGGCTTGTGCAGCGGCTTTGCATAAAGTGAACAAGCAGCTCATGCTGCAGTGGAGGCCTAGAGATGAGAACACTTTGTCGGATGCCATCACCAACCACGACTTTTCGAGTTTCTGCCCGGAGCTGCGAGTTCCTTTGAGGCTGGACGATCTGCCGCTTGATATTTTCCTTCGCATGGTCCACTCCAGGGGTGCTTTCTTGGATTCGCGTGTCAGCTTGCAGCGATTGGTCTCGAGGGAGTCGGCAATGTCTCGCCGGGAGAAGGAGACGAGCAAAACACCTTGGTGATCTTTCACATGTCGGACTGGCTGCCTTCCTTCGGGAGGGGTCTCGAGGCAACTGCGACCGTCATGTGAACATGTGGTCCAGGCTTCAGACGGCAAGATCCAGTTCGACGCACCGATTGAAAACAATGGTCTTCGAGTATGCCTTCGATTGCGCGATGCCTCAAGAGTGATCCTGAGCAACTGCATGTTCGATCGTTAACTGCTTGAGCTTTGGTGTGGAACCTTGGTGAATGCATTCGAGTGTCAGCTGCAGTTGATTTTCCAACGACTTTTGATTTCCCCTAAAACCCGACCCTAACCCTCAAGGCTCAAAGGTTCGACTCTACAGTGTGAATGAGATCCTTGCACGGCAAAGTTACGACTCAAGTTCTTTTGTGACCCGCCCTCCCACACCGGGGGTCTCGAGGCAACTGCGACCGTCATGTGAACATGTGGTCCAGGCTTCAGACGGCAAGATCCAGTTCGACGCACCGATTGAAAACAATGGTCTTCGAGTATGCCTTCGATTGCGCGATGCCTCAAGAGTGATCCTGAGCAACTGCATGTTCGATCGTTAACTGCTTGAGCTTTGGTGAATGCATTCGAGTGTCAGCTGCAGTTGATTTTCCAACGACTTTTGATTTCCCCTAAAACCCGACCCTAACCCTCAAGGCTCAAAGGTTCGACTCAAGGCGTGAGAACACCACACCGTCGATTATGCACAATGCATGCTTGGGGGTGCTAGGGATAAGGTTTCACGACTGCTTACTTCGATGCAGGCCTTGTGCCCACTGGCTTGTGAGTGCGACAAAAAGCATACTCATTTGCCCTTTGCAGTGGCTCGTGCAGCAGGCCGTTGGACCTTCGCTACAGCTTCGGAGGCCGAGTATCCTCCCCAGTTGTGTGATGCTTTCTGTCGCCTTGCTAGTAGCTCTCTGCCCTCTTGTCCCGCGCCCTTGCCTAGGCCCACGGTGCGGCAGTCTCGCCGTGCACCGCAGTTAATCCCCGAATTTAAGGAGTTCCGGGATTCTAGGCCTGCCCAGGGTGAGTTTCGCGAGCTTGTACGTGACAGGGGCAGCGACGGAAGCTGCTCAACTTTCGGCATCTTTCACACAAAGCAGGAGTTCACCCACAGGGCCCTTAAGCTTGATCATCCCTTCGACGACGCAGTGGCGATTGACGACAGCACAAGAAGGAACATTTTCGATCTTCTTACCAAAGGCCTTTCGTCTGTTGCTCAGAAGCGCATCAATGCCACAAAGAAGGTGAATCAGATGGCGAAGGAGCTCTCAGTGGAGGAGGCAAGGTTTCACGCTTCGTTACCACAGCATGCTCAGGAGGTCTTGAAAGGCAAACGCATACTGCTGTGGAGAAAGCTGTTGCAAGAAACTGGATTCCCAGATGTTTCGGTCGGTGAGCTCATGGAGGGCGTCGACCTTGTCGGCAAACCGGCCAAGTCGCCTCTGTTCGAGTGGAAAGAGGTCCCTGCGACTTCTTCCGTGCAAGATCTCCTGGACTCATCTGTTTGGCGTAATCACGCGCTTCAGAAGTCGCCTGATGTTGACGACTCGGGCGATCTTACGAGCAAGCTTTGGGAATGCACTCTGCAGGAGGTTGAGAAAGGTTTTCTCAAGGGGCCGTTCCAGTCAGAGGAGCAAGTTCGTGCAGCGCTTGGTGAAGAAGCTGTCTGCTGCACCCGGAGGTTCCTTGTCGTCCAGGGTAGTGCTGAGAATCCGAAGTTCAGGCCCATTGATGATTTTCGAGAAAGTGGCATCAACGCAGCCTTTCATTCCCTTGATCGCCTGCGTTTGCACGACGTCGACTTCTTCATTACCTTGTGCCGCTTCATTTGCAATGCTGTGGACGAGAAAGGAGTAGTTGCGGTATTCCTCAGAAACGGAGAACAACTTCGAGGGAAGCTCAGCCCGGATTTTGGGCGAGACTGCGCATGGGTAGGGCAGTGTCTCGACTTGGAAAAAGCTTGTAAGCAGGTACCTTTGGCTTCACAGAGCCTTAGGCTGGCGGTACTCCTCGTTCGCGAGCCGCTCACGAATGCTTTTCGCTTCTTCGTCAGTAACTCCCTGCCGTTCGGAGCGTGCGCAGCTGTATACAGCTTTAACCGCATAAGTCGTAGCTGGTAGCTTACTTCACCTTGCAACCACTCTTTGTGGTGTTATAGGCGGCGTATTTTATGATGATGACCCACGGAGCGGAGCGCAGTTATGTTTATCCTGGTCTAGCGAAGCCAAAGGCGAAGCGCACTTGCAGTTTTCAAACAACATTGTTTAAACCACAGTTTTAGCTTGTTGCGATTTTACAACAGATTCCGATTTTCATGTGGTTCGATGCTGTTTTTCGCATCACGATTTCCAGCATGATGCTTCGGTTGATCTTGTGCGATTTTGAATCATGTCATCCGTAGCCATTTTGGCTCAAGGCTGAGATTGCCGGAAATTTTTCAAGGGGCTCTCTAGAGGCTTGTAGCTTTGCGTCTAACAGGCCCGAGTCCTCCGTAATCCGGTGTTGCTCTTAGAGCACCGTGCAAGAGCCCTGCTGGGGCTCGGATGGACTTCCGCCAGGCCCTTGAAGCGGGATCTTCGGCTTCTGCTTCCAGTGACACTCAAGAAGCCATTTCCCAACATTTGTACGACCTTTCGCTGCAAGTTGCTTCTCTTGAACAGCAGTTGCGTGCTGCACGCGCAGAGCTCAGCGACATCCAGCGCGAGCTCCGGGGCCTGGAAACTGAAAGGTACCAGCATTCCCTCCGCCTGGGGTGGTCGGAAAGGCTTGTGCAGCGATTGCATCAGGTGTTTCGCTCCGAGTCTTAAGCTTCTTTTGCGGGGGATGAGTGCTGAAGCTTTTTATCCGGATGAGGGGGCCGTCTCGCAGTCTGTTGAATCAGGTCAGCAGGTCCCTCTGTCTGCCATACCTGCCAGCCCAATATCTCCGAATTCGGCTGTGTTTGAGGGCACACCTGATCAGAGTCCCTTAGCGGCCTCCATGAGCAACCCCGCCGAGGGCGATGATCTTACTGAGGAGCAACTGGGGGGCCTGATGTCTCGCGAGGACACACAACTTCCCCCTGACGACGACCCGACTGCAGACCGATTGGAACAGCAGCTTGCAGGCTTCATTGCCTACGGCGGCTGCGCAGGTGATTGGCATGCCATGAACTCAGGTTTCATTCTTGCAAGGCATTCCCGTCAGGCGATGCCGTGGGAAAGAGTGACCAGGCCCCGCTTGGGGCCTGGCTTCATGTTCCAGGAGCCGTTGCTAGGTCGTTTCGACGGTCTTAGGAGGGCGGCGATCCCCGCCCCTGCAGCAGGGCCGTGGGCATGGGTGCCCAAAGGAACTTACGAGGCCAGGCGACTTCTCGCAGCCAGGTTTGCCAAAAGCGATGACATGCTTAGGCTTTCCGCACTAAAGAAAATTCGGCTCATTGTGCTTTTCTTCCCGGATGATTCGGAGCTTGGAAGGAACCTCGTGGGTTCTGCAGGCTCCCTGGTGGAGGAATCCATGCTGACCTCGACCATCGAGGACACTTTTTCAGGCAGAGCCGCCAGCACCCTTCTGAAGCGTGCCTCAGATTTCTCAAGGTTTGCCAAGTGGATCGTAGCTAACAAAGGGCGCCCGCTGGCGCCGTCCGAAGGCGAGTTGTATGCTTACATGCTTCACTTGCGACGGGAGAAAGCCGGAGCCACCGCCGGCGAGTCTTTTCTCAAGGCCTACAAGTTCTTTGTGCACTTGACCGGGGCAGAGACAGGCTCCAGGATTTCCCCTCGTGTGCAGGGAGCAGCCAAGGCGATGTCTTTGGCCAAACGGCCGCTCTGGCAAGCACCTCCCCTTCCGGTGGAGGCAGTGCGGCTCCTGGAAGAGTTGGTTCACGAGTCCGAGGATTATGCCAGGGCCAGCATAGCAGGGTTCATTCTTTTCTGCCTCTACTCCTCGGCTCGATGGTCGGATGCGGCTCGAGGGACTCACTTGAGCATTGACGTGGCAGGTAACGGGCTTGTCCTTCTTGAGTGTTCGACAAAACATTACAAGACGAAGGCCAAGGACCGAAAGGATACCGTGCTGCCTTTGATTGCACTGGGCAGTGGCTTAACTCAGCCCTCATGGGGACGTGTCTGGATGCGCAAGAGGGCCCTGGCAGGGCTACCAGATTGTGCCGTAATCATGCCGGCCATGTCGCCGGGAGGGAACTTTCTAGGTAGGGCCATGACGGCTGCGGAGGGTTCCTTGTGGCTTCGTGAGTTTTTGCACTTGCAGGGTTTCGCAGGGGATCTTGAACAGTACAGCTCGCACAGCCTGAAAGCAACCGCCTTGTCCTGGACGGCCAAGAGCGGGACCATGACCTACGAGGAGCGCCTTACCCAGGGGCATCATTGCAGCCCAAAGCACGGCATGGCTCTCCTGTACTCGAGAGATGCGCTTGCAGAAATCATAGTGAAGGTAGCCAAGGTCGTGAGTGCGGTGAGCCGGGGAGTGTTTAGTCCCGACCTCCCGCGAGCCGAGAGGGTCGCAAGAGCTCTGCATGGCGATCCAGCAGATTTTGCACATCTTCCTGAGACGACGGCTGAGGATTTGCCGGCCGAAGAGCCTCAAGATGAGAACAACTCCGAGGCTGGGTCTGACATAACAAACCTCGACGGTCTCGAAGCGGACCTGGGGGCACCGGCCCCGGAGGAGGTCCGTCCTCGGCTTAGCTGCACGTTCTCGGGAGAGACCTACATGCACGTCTTGAGTGGAGTGGTGCATAAGTTGGTCAACCCCGGAATTTTTAAGTGCGGCAGGAAGGTCACGGCGAACATGCGTTTGATGGGGCCTGAGGAGGCTCAGGAGAATGTCTGCCAGCAGTGCGCAGCTTGAAGAAAAGAGGATGTGCTCAGTTGATCGTTTGCTGATTTGCGACGTCGTGCCTATGCCATTTGAGATGAAGGTGCTCGGGCCGATTGAGATCAGTTGGAGTGTTTCTTGCTTCGGAGCACAAAACCGGACTGAGAAGTGTCCGCAGTCTTTTGGCTGGGAGTTGCCAAACTGGGGCGAGTCTCCCGCGCGGCCTGGTGAGCACCCAGGCTTGAACTTAGCGGGAGTTTGATTGGGGGCTTTGAGATTGCAAGAACCCCCGTGGTCGGCTGCCTTTGCCGGCCTGAGTCATGAAAAATACTATTGGAACGCGACCGGCTGGGATCGCCGGTTCCCGAAGGCCGCCTGTGATCGGTGGCAAAGAAGTGTGAATCCGAGACAAACGCAACCCACGGTTGACTTCGCCGTGGGTGAGACCTCGAAACCTGTATCCTCACCTGCCCAGGTCTCATGGCCGGACTTGAATCGGTGCCCGCCTTCACCGATCGAGCAAAGCAGATCGGCATCAGCGAGGATCTTCTGAACAAGCTCCTTGCTAAGAGCTTGGACACCTTCGGCAAGCTAGCTTTCGTGTGCTCGAGCAAACCTTCCAGCGGGGATGACACTCCTCTCTTCGAAGCCCTGAAGACTCTGATTGGGAGTGAGGTTCCAGTGGACCAACATATGGTGATCAGGCGATTGTGGTACGAGAGCCACGCCCACGCCCTGGTTGACTTGGAATCGAGGGCTTCGAGAACAAGTGATACGAGCCCCCGCGAGCTTCCGTTGGCAGAACGCCTAACACGCTTGAAACGCCAAAGGGGCGAGCTTAAAGGCCTCGAGATGGATATCCACACAGAACCTGGACACGGCCTTGTGGACCGCGTCCAGGCCATGCTCGATTCTGCACAAGTGCTGCACATCGCGCCGGAAAAGTGCATTTCCCGCCATGACGAGATCCTGGGTGAGAAGACGGAGCAAAAGCTCTCTTTGGGAGCCGACGGGAACATCAAGATTACGAAGCAAGCCTCGAGTCTCCGGTGCGAGACTACCGGCGAGCTCAAGCTTCGCCGGTGCTTCCTGCGCCGGGCCTTAGCGTTCGATCAAGTAGGGCTCGCCTCCTTCACTGCAATGGAGTCTTGGCACAACCGCATGTTCCAGGCTCTGCTTGATGTGCCTCCGGAGGGTTATCGCTACACTACCGTTCAGCAGCTGCTCGCAGCTGACCAGAAGCTTTGGCAGGTGGTGGCCCAGGAGAGCCGAGGTGACATCGTCGTCGGAGTCGGAGCCCCGGCTCCTCTTGATAAGCACATAGCCGCTGCTGCAACCAATCAGTTTGTGGTATCCTGCCTGACACACCTTCCTAAGCCTGCCGAGAACCAGGCCCAACCGTGGAAGCCGAATAAGGGACCCGACAAGGGCAATCAGAAGGGAGAGAAGGGTACCAAGGGCAAAGGCCGCGGCAAAGGGAAGCAGAATCACAGCCAAGGCCAGGCTGATGCATCCTCGCAACCGTCCCTGAAGGAGCTGCTGGAGTCGTTACCCGAGGGCTGCGTGCGGGCCAACGATGATGGCCGTTTCATCTGCCCATTTTACAACAAGGGGATCTGTCGCTTCCAGAAACGCAAGTCGTGCCGCTTCGGAAAGCATGTGTGCAACTTCAGGGGGTGCGGGGCCGAAAGGCCCTACAGTGAGTGCAAGCATTGACTAGCCTCGCCCTCGCCCGAGGTTTTCGCCAGGCAAATCTTAGCTCAGAGCACACCTGTTACCGCTGAGCAAGTGATGAGGCTTTTTGATGCCTTGCCGCATGAGCAGTGCGACCGAGACGCCCAAGGGCGCTCCTTTTCGGCAGGGATGTACTCTCGAGTTAAGGTGAGCCTTCGCAAATCTTGTAGGCTTTTTCCACAAACGGTGCGCGTGGTGAACAGGTTTGTAGCCTCTTTGCTTGATGGTGCCGTTTACACCAGTTTTGCCATTTTTGATCAGGTACGCACTCGGCCACACCGAGACAGTCAGAATTCCTTTTCTCCGAATTATGTCATTCCTTTGACCGTTTTCCAAGGGGGAGCTGTCAGGGTAAGCGAGCCAGGCCAGACTGTGGACTTGGAAGTGTCTCGCGGGCCCATTAAATTTTGTGCGCGAGGGTATGAGCATTGCACTCTGCCAGCCACCGGGCGCCGAGTTGTTTTGGTGCTTTTTGCTTTGCAGGCCGGAGAGCGGATCTCCGGAGCCGACAAACATGTCTTGCTTGATTTGGGCTTCCCGTTGCCCAATGCTTCGCAGTTGGCTTCAACTGAGGTCTGCTCGTCACTACAGCTTCCAGTGACTGATCAGATGCGTCGGATTCTCCCCCTGAAAGAGCCAGCTCCGCCTGCCTCCGAGCAAAAATCATCTCCCTCGTCCGGGTCTTCCGAGTCCGACCAGGTTTCATCGGCTCCCGGCGATCCCAAATCAGCGCCTTGTCCGAATCCCAGTGCAGATCAGCGAAGTGCCGCTTCCGCCTCGTGTGGGACCGTTGAGGGCTGCAACCCCCTGTCGAATCAGGGCCCCTCTTCGGTCCTTCGTCCTCCCATGCTGGCCGATTGCCTCGCTGTCTCGGGATCTTTATCGGCCGCCGCCCTGCAGGCTGGTTGGGATGCCTTGCCATTGGGCCACAAACGTGGTGCCCCCGAGTGCTGTCCCCGGGTGCCGATTGACCTCTCCGCGAAAGATGATCTGCAAACATTGCTTGACTTTGATCGCCATACACTTGTCGACTGGTGGCATTTCAATCTGTTCATGAAATCTTGCAATCAGGGGCGTGACTCTCGAGGACGTGCGAGCCTTCGTGACGCCTCTCACTTGCTGGGGCGCGCCGGCCTTCCTGCCCGCGCCGATTCGCTGGTGCAGCATGAAAACAGTTTACTGCAAGCCGTGGTCGACCTGCTGTTCCGAGCTTATGAGACTCGGGCCCTGGTCAGCTTGATCGGGCCGGCCCGGAGTTGGGTTTGGAGCCTCTTAGCCCACTTTGTCAAGCAGAGGCGGCATCAGGACTTTCTGCAATGGTTCTTCGCTTTGGCCGATCAGGAGCTTGATACTTGCATGTTCGGTGCCCCATTCTTGACATCGCTGCGCATCCGAGCCGACTCTTCATCTTTCCCAAACCTTGGCCGTCCCTGTGATAAGTCCCATAAACACATGCCTTGGATTCCCCCTTCTGCAGGAACGGGTTTCAGTGATGCCTCGCTGCCTGCTGAGCTGTGCCGGACCCTGTGTCGCTCCGCCACAGCAGTCTGCCGAGGTCTCCAGGCCCAAAGAGTCGACCTCCTGCATAGCCGCCGACTTCGAGCTCAGGTGCGAGCGGCAGCGGCCAACCAACCCACCTACATGCCTCCCTTAATCCCTGAGTTTCGGGTTAGGGTTCCTCTGTCCCAAGTACCGAGTGGAGCTGATTACAAAATACTCTCCAAAGGCCGCGGCTCTAGTGCGGGGGACAATGATGAGCCGGGGAATAATGATGAGCCCAATCCTTCTAAGAGGGTCCGGATACAAGGAGATGGTAGAGCCGGAGATCTGGCAGGTGTGTATTTTTCCATGGAGGAGCACCTGCATCGCGCATGTGGGCTAACCTGCCCAGCTGACAACAGTGCTCGTTTGCCCGATGCTGTTCGCCGCAACATTTTCGCCATACTCACGGAAGGCCCAGTGGCTGTGTCAAAGCGGCGAATGCTTGAACTGAAAAAATTGAATGACCGGATGGCGGTGCTGTCTGCCACTGAGAAAGAGCTTCGAGCCAAAATGCATCCGGATGTGGAGCGAGTCACTAAGGGCAAGGCCCTAGCTTTGTTTCGCGAGCTTCTTGAGGAAACAGGCTTTCCCGACATGTCAGTGGTTGACCTTCTTACCGACGGTGTGCCCTTAGTTGGTCAGGAAGCCGAGTCCCCTTTGTTTGCAAAGCGGCCGAAGCCCATGGACCTTGGGCCAGATCAACTTAAAGCCCAGGCCCCACTGCGGCGGCGCGCATTGCAGAAGATGAAAGGACTTGTTTCCGAACAGGATTACAAGGCGATGAAAGATGAGACTTCCGAGGAACTGGCAGCGGGTTTCCTCACGGGTCCATACCACTCGGAGCAGGAAGTCAGCGACATCTTGAAGACCGATGCATGGTCGCTCTCGCCTCGTTTCCTGTTGAGGCAGGGCGAAGACGCCAAGATAAGGATAATTGACGACTTTAAAATGTCGGCGGTTAACAGGGCTTTTGGCTCCTCGTCTTTCCTAGAGCTTCAGGATACGGATTACGCGGTCGGCCTCCTGAGGTTCCTTTCCCGTGTGCTGCAGGATCGCTCCAAGGTCCGGGTCCCCTTGTCTGATGGCACCGTGCTCGAGGGGAACTGGGATCCCGAGATGCTCCGCCAGCCCGCTCTGCTCGGCAAGACGTTGGACTTGAGTAAAGCCTATCGCCAGGTGAGCATCCATCCTTCCACGAGGGAGCACGCTGTTCTTGGCTTCCCCGACCCGCAAGGCAAGTGGGAATTTTACATAGCCCAGAGCCTGCCTTTTGGAGCTGCTGCAAGCGTGTATGGGTTAAACAAAGTAGCACTTGCGATTCTTCACATCATGGTTGTCAAGTTCGCTGCAATCGCGACCGACTTTTACGACGACTACACTGTATATGAATTTCGCCCAGCTGCATTCCTGCTGGACAAAGTCCTGATGAGGCTGCTGGACCTGCTAGGGTGGAACTACGCGAAGTCTGGGCGGAAGTTTGTGCCGTTTGACAACAAGGTGGTCTCCTTGGGTGTTTCTTTGGGCCTTGACGAGATATGGGGAGGCACTCTCAAGGTCGAGAACAAAGCGGGACGTCTTGAAAAGATTGCAGAGCTCCTCCAAACAATTGCCCAGGGGGGAGCTGTGACGAGATCTGATGTGGCCTCGCTGCACGGCTTGATTAACTTCGCAGGTGGACTGATTATGGGCTTCGAGCTGAAGCCCACGTCGCGAATGCTGTCCCGGGCCTTGTCGGGGCCTTTCCAAGGAAGTACACT